GATGGGGGAGAGGAGCTGATATAGGGAACATGAGATAACAGAGGAGAAGAAGAAAGGGTGTTACAAACCCTGGAAATCTTTGGAGGGATGGATAGAATTGTGAAGCTTCTGTGAAATCTACCAAATTAATATTTGTCAAATGTGCACATTCTGTTGTCGGTCAAGATTCTTGAGTTTTTATCAGCAGAGTCGAGTTCTTTCCTGACAATAGTCCCATTGAGAAATTCACTGAACATGTTTATTTGGTATTTTAATGGAACCTTTAATAGATACATGGGGTCTGCAAGCCTTTAAGCTATCAAAAGTTCAAATTCCTTGAAAAGTGTTTAGATATTATTGGTAAAAGTACTTGCTATTTGCATGTGGTTTGTTTGTAGTAATTTTCCTTCTTTTCAGCTCAGACACATGCAGTTTCTAATTCAAAACTCAAAAGGTGTTCTTGTGTTGGTGTATTAGATCCGCTGTTGTGCACTAGAAAATTTTGGGAATTAGGCCACACTTAATGTCTAGGTGGTGTGTTTTAGGGTTGCCCAGAGGCTGGAACACACTGCCATGAAGAAACCTGATCCTGTTTTCCTAGGTGAACTCTGTCAAGGTATAATGCTGGATTTGGTGGTGTGTCTGTTCTTCTACTTGACTGCATATAGGGAACACAGCAAAGTGGACATGGAGGTGCTTCAGGCTACTTATAACCCTTAAGTTCTATTGGTTACTCATGGTTATGGCAACCTGAAAGTTTTTTTGGGAGCATTAGAATTAGCCATAAAGTTAATAATTAAGCCATAAAGAAGCCCATGATCTAGTCTCAGGGAACATAAGATAACAGAGGAGAAGAAGAGAGAAGAACATTTTTTGGGAGCATTAGAATTAGCCATAAAGTTAATAATTAAGCCATAAAGAAGCCCATGATCTAGTCTCATGTCTTTCCTGGCAGTCTGTGAAAACAAAGATGGGTGTTCTTTCTGTAATGGACTATAATCACCAGTGTTTATGTTCATACAGTGGCCTTCAAATGCTTTTAGGAAAGCAGGCTCACAAAGTGTGAGGTCTTTTATGACTTCAGTGTGTAAGGATACTATCCATACAAAATATGCAACTTACTATGAATAATTCTAATATTGCACACTTGGCTAAGGTGTATATCCTTCAAAAAAAGCCCCTATAAATATAATGATTTTTGAAGGATGACAGACTCACTTTAAAAGATGCACCTCAGGAAGGTGTTCTCTGCTCAGTCACTGTGGACTTGGAGCATCGTTTGTCAACACTTCTCTTCTATGGTCATTGTCAATCTAAAACCTTTTCCCTCCTCCTGCGTCTCAGTTGCTGTTAGATGCCATGCTGAAGTTGAAAGGCTTTCCAGTTAAGATGAATCAAATTCTCCCTTCATGTTTGACATGGAACAGCATGTTTGTTGATAACATTTTGTTCAACAGTCTCCTCATGGAACGGCACCTCTATGTGTATTTCCCTTTGACCAAAAATAGCTAGGGTTGCATAATCATTGCCTGCTTTCGTTTGGCAGTAACTGAGAGACTGCATTTGTGTGTGTGTACCTCTGATGGAGGTAGAGTGTCAGAGATAAAGCAAATTACTAGGGAAGAGTAACAGAGGCATGAAATCCAGGAGAGCAGTTGGGGTGCTCATGTAGTCTAGTGAAAACATTGAAGTTTAGGACAGAAAATACTGCACTACTTTTGGGACTCCTTGAAGCTCAGATGCTCACTGAATGATTTCCTTGTGCGTGGGAAAACACGAGGAAAAGGGATGGCTTGCCATACTTGTGCAAAGGAGCAATGTTTGTCTGCTGTAACATGTCACCTGTGCAAGGGCCCTGGGAGCATCCTCTTCCTGAGGGTTTGGCTGTGAGGCTTGGGGGAGCTGATGCAGCCGGGAGCAACCCCTGCCCCACGGTAACGCTGGGCAGAGGTGCCCAGCAGTGCTGCGGGAGACCACGGCCAGCACTAACCCTTAGGAGCCACTTTCGGTGCAGTCCAGCCCCTGTCTGGCTGTGGCCTGCCAATCTGCATGAGGACACCCCACCCATGGGCGGGCCGGCACCCCATCCCCAGGGAGGTGCCCAATGTCAGGGGCTCGGGCTGCCCCGGCGCCCCAGCTGCCCTGCTCCTGTCTGGGGCGGTGGGATGAGCCCTGCCCTGCTACACCCTCGATGCCTGCCAGCCCACAGGGGTGCCGGCGGCACCCTGACAGCACCTAACGCTGCCCTTTGGATGAACGTCTCGCAAGTGGGGGTGCTTCTCGGAGTAGACACAAACGAAGGAGCAGAGAGGTGTTGAAAGGGGGGTGTTGTTTTTCACAGCAAGCAGCTTTCTTCCTTTCTACTACTCCTATCCCTGCCCCTCACTCCAAAGAAGAAGAAATAGCTTAGTTGGCAAAAAAGGGATGAGACAAAGGAACAGGAAGAAAGACAGTGGAAGGAATGTTTTAATTGAGGAGGAGATGGTGGAGGGGGGAAGAGCTAAGAAACAGATGTGGCTGGCTTTACTTCAAGCAAGTTTTATGCATTCAAAATTCTTGGCCACTAGCTAAAATGATGCTGGTTAATTACCTTTAAATAGACTGGTAGTGAGTAGGAATGGAGAAATACAACCCAAACTGTCCTCTTCCTGAACAGCTCAAATTGTTTTCTTGTCTGTGTGGGGAAGAAGCTGCCAGTGTCTCAGGATTTCACATCATTTATACTATAAATTTTTTTTAAAATCTTGAATTATTGGGCAACTACAGATACATTGAATTAGCTTTAAGCACGTGAGTTTTACAGAAGTAAGCAGAAGTTACATGTGGATTTCTCAAATTCTAATCTTTTCCTTTTTTTTCCCTTCCTACAGACATAGGGCTGGGCAGTGACTCTGTATGCGCACGTCCCTCATCTCATCGGATAAAATCTTTCGATTCTCTGGGATCCCAGTCTTTACACAGTAGAACTTCAAAACTCTTTCAGGGGCAGTATCGGAGTTTGGTAAGTTCTAGAAGAAATGAAACATGCTGTGGTGTGATTTTTTTTTTTTTTTGGTTGTGTTTGTGTTTTGTTTTTGTTTTTCTTTAACAAGATTTATAGGTAAACACTAGTGTAGCAAAATAATTGTATTTCCTCTCTTTCACCTCTATATTTCAAGCCTGTGACATTCTATTTTTGCAGCTTTTCTTACAATGTTTCAAAATGCATGCAGCTTTCTGTGGACTTCTAACTATTTTTTCCCCTCACTTAACACTCCATGTTGTCTGCATACGCAGTATCTTACTGGGTTTATTTCTTCCTTTTCAGTATAGGGACTTGCTTTTCCAAAGTGAAAAAATCTTATTTCTCCATGTCTGTGAGTTTAAGGATGGTGATTGAAGCATATTCAAACCTCAGCAAAGGCGGTACTTTTCATGTTGGCAGTATTGGTAGTTATTCCTCTTTTCTGTTACGTGTCAAGGTGAATCCTTCAACTAGCCTTCAGGTAACTGAGTGGTATGGGCAGTTGGTTTATAGTACAGCTGAAATCAGGATAGACTATTGTATTGACACTCACTGTGATGAAAGGTGCTCTTAGTGACTAAAAGGTTTGCAAGGAGGGTTCAGATCCCTACTGTAAGCTGCTTTTTCCATGCTTGAAGGAGGCTGTTTTGAACTGTGATGATTGCTATGTGAAACTTTAAACGCAGTGCTCTGCTTAAGCTTTCTTAGGTGTGGTTTGATCTATTTTCTCTGGTAGCAGAGCTCTTGTAAGTTCTTGCCCTAGGCCACTAATTCCAGCTCCCACGCTGCTGTTTGCCACCCACTCAGTTTTGCCGATGCAACTGTTTGTGGGACTAGCTGTGAGCTGGGTTACTGAAGTGATCAGAGTTTTAAGTATTTCTATCACTTTGGTGATCTGAGCAGCTCTGCAGAAAGTTGGAAAGGGGCCTAGAAGGGAGGGATAGAGGACTACAGGCCAAACCTGAGAAATTCTTAGTTTGGTTTTGCTGTTGTGATGATGATTTGATGTTTGATCAGTTTGGAACTATTCTCACCAAATTTGTACTCAGTTTCCTCTACTGGAGAGCCATTCCGGCAAAGTAAAAGGACCGTAGTTGATGACACTGTGCAATGTTGCTGCTTATTTTGTGGCTGTTTAGCATTTCCTAAGGCAAAACTGTTTCTCTTGTTGAGCAGTCATAGCGGATGAAAGCACATGATGTACAAGTGGAGGACTAAGGCAGAGGCACTTGTTTGAAAATGTGATTTTGAAAATCTTAATTGTTGGATATCGTGGCTTGCAGTATCTTGGGGCTTTCTGCATGTTTTCAAAGTTGCATTTGCCTGCATTTTTCTACAGTTTCTCAGCCACTAAACTCGATTGTTAAATTGAGTTGTGATACAACGTGATTGCTGTGGATATGAATGAAGCTGACAAGTTATATGATCCCGATGACATTACGTAGTACATAATTTAATCATCTCAACTATATAGACAAACATGTAGGTGAAATTCTGCCACCTGGATAGCTGACTAGGATTGCTTCCATAGTAATTTTCTCACTAAGTTACTTTTTTAGTAATACAGGTATTGATCCCTACTTACGATAGAGACATGATTTGTAGTCCTGTTCTCTCAGTTCCAGTGCAATAGATTCTATTTGGATTATTTCAAGCTGTCCAGTTATTTAGCTTTGTTAGCATAAAAGTTTGTCTTAACTCTTATGAAATGCTTAAATGATACAGATATTCAAAATTGACATGAGGAAAAAAAATGATGAATTTGAACATCATTAATTGGACAAACTTCGAAGTAGCTATTAACATTTAGTTGTTACCATAGAGCAATAATCTACCTCCACATCTGTGACAGGGTTTGAGCACATATATATGGACACCTGCAAGTCTGACATGCAGATTTGTGAGTGTTTATTCAAGGTAAATTGCATAACTGCTTCACAGGTTTTGTGGAAGAGCACTGTCCTCTTCCATTGGCAGGCCATGGATACTTGTACATTCAGGCATAGAAACTTCCAACCTGATCTGTTACAGGGGGAAAAAAAAAAGTTTTAAGCTGAAAACTCTTTATTTACTATTTATGAATTAAATTAAGCCCAACTCAGTTCCCTCCTCCTCCCAGCCTGGAAAGTTTTAGAAAAAAAAAACTCTCTAATGTAAAGCTGTTGTTGCTTTGTAGTTGCCAAAGGCAGTTCCAATTTATGCTCTATATCGAAAATAGAACTTTTTTTTTTTGGTGGAGGAAGTAAGGATGATTCTCATTTTAGCTCTGTTACCCCCTTCTGATTTGAAGGGGCTGTAATAAGATGATATACTGCCTGGACTGATACAAATCCATAGATTAAAAATGACAGAAATACTGGCAATTGCAAATCATACCTTACAAATGCTTAGAGTAAAAACATGTGTGGAGGAGAGACTATTTCCATTCTATGGATACTTCTGTTTTATTCATGGAATTGTTTAAATCTCTAACATGATCTTTTTGGTTTTTGTATTCTCACTTACTAGGACATGACAGATAACAGCAACCATCAGTTGGTGGTGAGAGCAAAATTTAATTTTCAACAGACAAATGAAGATGAACTTTCTTTTTCAAAAGGAGATATTATTCATGTCACAAGAGTGGAAGAAGGAGGCTGGTGGGAAGGAACTCTAAATGGCAAAACAGGGTGGTTTCCAAGTAACTACGTACGAGAAATAAAATCAAATGGTGAGTTTTGAAGGAGAGCATATTTGCACAAATTCTTGCTTTGGGTAGAGGTTGATAGTTGGTTGATTCATTAAAAATTGTAATGCTTTTTGTTTAAGCTTGACTGTATTTACTGGACTTCTTTCACAGCAATCATTAATGCTCAGGAGCTCATTCTCCCCCACCCTAGTTTCCTGTATAGAGTGGTCTAGGACTTTCGAATTAACAGTAAGCATGCCGAAAACTCCCCTATTCTGTTGCTTGTCTGTCTCTCTGTCTCTGTCACAGTTGGGCTGCTCTGACTTCCTTGCCCTGAATTCCTAGAACCGTGGATTTTGGCTCTGTGACATACTTTGAATTGGTGCTTTGGGTTTAAGTGGTGAGAGATTTGCTGCAAATCTCTTCAAAACCAACAAAACCAAAAACTAAACCAACACAAACTCAATCTGCAAACTCAACAACGTACTACACCAAAAAAAACCTCTATAAACATGTCCCATTACCTAGAAGCAAACATACACAGGAAAAATCCCTGATTCTGCCAAAATCTACTAAAAGTTAGAGACAGTTTTTGAAAGATAAAATATTTGTCATTTTCCTTTACTGTTCATGTGCCTTCAAATTTTTTTAATACACGCTTCACTCTTCCACTGAAGTTACATTTTGAACTTCATAACAGTGAAAGTGCCTTCTACAAATGCCGTCTTCATGACTGAATATCAGAACTAACATTGCTTTTGAATCCATCAGGACCTTGAAGTGGGTGACATCTCCTTTTTGTGTGTGTGTGTGTGTGTGTCTTTCCTGTATCTGCTTGCTTTCAGAGATTGGGGATAAACCTGGCAGGATAAAACTACCCAGGGACTCTCTGACAGGCTTTACTACTCTTTCCCTTGTTACATCTCCAAAGAAAACACGTGTCTTTTTGGGCCATGCTAACATCATTGTTATGACTTTTTTTAGGCAGCCATACAGATGTGTGACTGCAAACTGAAGTTGTGAGGGTAAAACTCTATTTTTCAATTTACTCTTTCTCCTCTGGTTCCTTCCTCTTATTTTCTTCCTTGATTTGCTACCTCCAGTTCATTTTTGCAGAATGCTAGAGTCTTAGATCTGTAAATTTTTTTTTGTCATTTTCAACTAGATCCTCTTAGGCATAGTCACAATGGAAAACTTAGCTTTAATGTTCTTCAGAGATCTCTCAGATGTGGATTACCGTGAAGCCTGTAGTGTTGTAGCAGTCTCTTTCAGCCGTGATGACTATCTTGTCTCGTTGTTATTCATTTACAACATTGCTGCAGAGGTCTTGTTTGGATTGCATTAGTTTTGATCTCTTCTGACTCCTGAGACTGGAACCTGGGTCAGCACGTAGGCTCCAGAATGGAAGTAGCTTTTAACAGTGAACAGATGAGAACCAAAAGGTGCGAGCAAATGAAATTAAGGTTGTTTTTGTTTTTTTAAGAATACTTCACTTGGGTAAACCAACTCTCCTAAATAAGAAAGCCAGCAAGCTGTGGGGCTAAGGTTAGTACCAAGTACAGTTTGATTGTTGCCAGTCCTTGCAACCCTGTCCAATTCCTGGGGGCTGAGATGAACTACTTCCAGTCCCTGGTTTAACTTTCACTTCTCACCATCAGAAAAGTTTTCTGCTAAGCTCTTCTTTCCCTCTGCTGTATAGGTTTGTTCTCTGTGCTATAAGGTCTTGTTCCTTCTGGCTTCTGCGAGACTTCTTGTGTTCTTGGAGTGCTCTCAGGCCTAGTTGCTTCTAGTTGGAAGGGAATATGTGTCTGTGCTTTTCCCTTCCTGAGAAAGTTGCATTCACTGCTTTTGTGTTCTGTGAATTTACTGACTGTTACAAAGTTAAAGTGACTGTAGCTCTCTAGCTTTCTCTGTTCTCCTCCACCTTTTTAAAGACAATTACTGTGTTTGGCCTTTTCCAGTACTTTATGGAACTTTACTTGTCCTCTCTGGTTTCAAACATGGATGTAGCTAGTTTTCTTACTGCCAAATCAGCACAGCAGGTATGTTTAATTTATCAAAATACTAGTTTTAACCTGCTTCTGTACCTTTGCAGATATGTGTTTGAGTTGTCTCAAGTTGACCTTTTTATAATGAGGATGGGCAGGTGGTAGAAGGAAGTATGACTTATTAAGAGCTTCTTGATGTCTGTTGATAACTCTTCTTCCCTATTGAGTTGCACATCAGCTTTCCCCCCTTGATGTATGTATGCTATGGAATGTTGCGTTGTTACAACCCTTAGGTCCATATTAGTTGTATTTCAGCTGGTGACCTGACTTTTTCTAGTTACTTTCTCTTCTTTTTGTGTGTTTGAAGTCACTGTAGTATTTGTGATACTTGATTGTATCAATTTGCATATACTTTTCCTATTCTTTGTTTGCAATTCCCATAATTTTTAATGGACTTCTTGTTCTTGCGAGTCTCTTCCCCTTACATTTTCAGTGGGAATCCTTTTTTTACCTGTTTTTTTAGGTTTACTGAATTTTTCTTGAATTCTTGAAGTTCATTGTTCTCATTTTTCTGCTCTTCACACACACACAGAGGCACACCCCCACACTCAAGTTGTTTCCACGAAATCTGTTATGAAAATTTCTATTGTCAACTGATTTCTGCTTTGTGGGTATTATTGAAGGTGCTCGAGAGAGGCCTTTTCTATAATTCTTCTCCCTCCTGTATCAAAGCACATTGCTGCTGTGTCCTGAGGTTGGACTTCCTTTGTTCTGCTGTCTTTGGTTGTAACAGGAGTTGTAGTGAGTGCTGTTTGCCACAAAGCTCGAGGTTACCTGTATGGCTGTGGTGGCTGTTCATGAGAAGTTTCATCTACGTTGTGTGTGTGGACTGACAGTCTCTGTTGCACTCCTGTGCTCCTGCTCATTTTTGCTATTCTTCATTAGACTGGTTGACATTTCTTGAGTTGATAGACAAAATGGCCTTCAGTTGTGCCAGGGGAGGTTTAGACTAGATATTAGGAAAAAAATTAGGAAAAATTTCTTTACCAAGAGAGTGATCAAACATTGGAATAGGCTGCCCAGGGAGGTGATGTCACCACCACTGGAAGTGTTCAAAAAACATGTAGACGTGGCACTTCAGGATACAGTTTAGTGGGCGTGGTGGTGTTGGGTTGATGGTTGGACTTGATGATCTTAAAAGGTCTTTTCCAACCTTAATGATTCAGTGATTCTGTGACTTTCTTAACTTCCTTTAACCTCACTTTAACATTTTTTTTTTTCTAATTTAGAAATATTTTAAGTGTCTTTATGCTTTAAGCATGGGGTTACAACACAAGTGTGGTTTTTTTTTCCCCACCGCTGATGTATTTTTAAAATGAGCTAGTAGAACTTGCTGTCTTGCAAGCTTAAATTCAAAATGTGTTTTCTATCAGCATTATAATGAATTGATTGAAGAAAGATCAGGATGGAATTGTTGAAATACTTGCTCTTAATTAAGGTCTCTTTATAAAGAAAATGTTCATCCTGGACATCTAACAGGTTTTTGAAATAGTATGATTCCACCCTTCTTTCTTCTCAAATGTGGCTGCAAATACTGCAGCTAGTTAGAAATTTGGTCCAGGCAAGGCTGTGTGTTACCATTTTTGATAATGAGTTATTTGGAGACCTCCTGGGAAATGGTGGGTTTGATTAAACAAATGCCTTCAGTCTGCTGTAACCTGACTTTGGCAAACTGGGTAACAGAAGAAAGGAAAGAAGTTCTTTCTGTATGTGTGTTTTTGTTTTAATTTTCACAAAAGTCATAGACACTAGATGTTTAGATAAATAGATTTTTGTTCTAAATTAAAATATACTGTAATATCAGATAACTGTATGCTTGCAATCTTAGCTTGTCAAGTTGCTCTGAAGTTAGATATTCAAGGAAAGGAAGAAGGAGCTAGAAGGAGAAGTTGAAAAATGTGGGATAATCTGAGATTATGATGTAATAGTAGTTATCTTTCCTGAGAGGGAATTGAGAATAGTGGCTGTATGAAAGAGTTGCCATGAAGGAAATAAATGCTCAAATTTTGATGTGCTGCTTAGTAATGGGAACTGCCTTTACCCACATTGCTTTTTTAAAGATTTCAGAAGAAAAGGAAACCAAATTATATATATATTGCACAAGCAGAGCATGTTACACGATAAGGTATCTCAGAGTAACTAAAACATAGCAAAGCTGTGCCCATGTTTACTATGTTGTAACTTGCCTGCTTAGCTACACCAGAATGATTAGTGTTAGCACAGAATGCCAATACATGTATGAGGTGAGCTATGAATGTTTGTAGGAAAGATACTGAAATTACTGAGCAAAGCGCAGCATTTAGTTTTTTAGGCCAGGCGATGGCAAAATATTTTTATTTTGGGGAAATAGATTTGGTTGAGATAGAAATGGGTTTTGGTTTGCTTTTGAGGGTGTTATTCCGCCCTGCCCTGAGGATTTACCTGAAATTGTAGTACTTATGATCAAACTTAGAAATAGAAGGAAAAAAAAATAGTTTCTTTTCAGGTACGTGCCTACACTGTAAGGATCAAAAAGATGGTCCGTTTCTCTCTTCCTCCCTGTGCGCGTGTTTTCATTTCCCTTTTTAAACTGTAACATCTTGCCTTTTTTAATGTTCTTTGATCACTAGTCAGGAAGGATTTTGAAATGAGAGGACTTTATTTTCATCCTGCCATACTGTTACACATGACAGAGGGTAAAAGATTTATACTGTGTGAACTTGTTAGGTATTTGACAGTGTGGCTTTATTGAGTTGTTTTATTATATAAAACGGAGGAGGGAGGGGTGAAAGTGTAGGTGGAGTCTTGTCTCTTACACTGCTGCTGATTCAGTCTTGTACAGTAGAGAGATGTGCAGACTTGGTTTTGAGAGTTCCCATATGAAGAAGAGAATAGGGGTTAGCCAGAATGGGATGCACTTGCTCAGCTACTGTCAGATGTTAATCAGATTTTTTTAAAAAATCACATGGTCACTTGCTGGGTTTTATCGAAGTATACTTAGTTTATGTGGCATGAGATTATGCAGAAGGGAATATAGCTTTGAAAAATGACATTTGATATGTCACAAACTTTATTCTAATTCTTCACAGAAATTAATGTGTCATTAGCTGTCCTAGCCTCTCTTCCATTATGCTTTCTTGGTGAATATGACAAGCTGGAGACATGACAGAAGAGAGATAGGAGAGAACGTGAGAATGACAAGCAATTTGTAGGCAAGTAAAAGAATACTTGCATGTTAATGAAAATAGAATGAAACAAAACATGCGGAAGGATTGGGTAGATCTCTCCTTTTACAGACACTTAAAAAGGTAGATGTTTGTAAAGGATAAGATAACTTAATTTTAGAGAGTTTGTGGCATCTTATGTACTGCTTTGGGAAAGGTTACAGAAGCAGCTGCTCTAAGTTGTTTTGATTCTACTGAGAATAATTATTTGCTGGAAGGATCATGTTAAGAAGCCTGTGCCAACCTCACCCTCCACCCAAAGATGATCTGTTAAGTGGATTCTATCTTGTTTTATCACTAGACACTTCAAAGCACTGTCAAGTGTAGCTGGGTGCAGTTGAACGTAATGCTTTGATCAGGAAAGAAACTGATAGTGGGAACGTACCTCTTGTTTTCAGTCATCAACTGGACATGGTCTCTCCCAGTACTTCAGCAGAAGCTTGTTTGCTTTGGATTTGATTGTATCCTGTGCGTGTTTTCGTTATACTTTCAGTGTTAATATAATGGATTCACATTGACTGGGAGAGAAGTAAGGAGAAGGGAAGAATCTTCTGTATGGGAAAACTTGGTGTCTGGCTCACGTCACTCTTCCAGTGCTTTGAGAAACAGAGCTTATATGTTGGAGTGGGCAAGGTTTTGCTAATGTTTCAGAAACCTATGGACTGAATAGACCTATGGATCTGTAAGACCTGTATATGTTCCCAGTATGCTGAATGGGGATGACACCTGCTTGAAATGTTTAATGAATTATGTTGTATGTTTGCAAAAGTACTCCAGTGTTCTCTCATGAAGGATAATAAATAACACTTACCTTTGTTTATGCTAAGAAAGCGATTTCTTACATGCAAGATCAGGATTTTCTTCTGTGTAATGCATTGTGCAATAAGCTAATTGCAACAAGACTGTTTCTTATTCCTCCTTATGAAGCAAGGCAGTGCTTGGAGGCAGAATACCAGACATGATAGACAGCTGGACTGATTTGTTGTGTCTAATTCTGTGTTTCTACAATAGAAATGGCCTTTGCATTTTAAAAGCTGAATGTTGATTAAGGCTGTTCAGGCAAAATTACTTGAATGTGTGATTCTTTTATGTGTCCTGTTTTTAAATCTGAATTTGATCATCTCTCGCTGATGGATAACTGAATCAGCTGAACAGCTGGTAATATACATGACTATATATTTCAGAAAAAAATCTCCCGCTTTGTTCAGCAGCTTAGGAGAAGAAAAAGTTAGGGGAAGAGATGTATTTTTACACGCTTTCAGATAATAAAATAGCTGGAAGAAGAGCCAGAGTTCTATGACCAGCCAACTTCCCCCCAGATTAACAAGTGTCAGACATCTGTATTATGACAAAATTCAGTGACAAGTATTTACCTCTTTCCTTAAATAACTCTGGTTTCTCCTGTCATGCTTTTTGGCACATGGTTAATAAACCTTTCGGTATTTAGTGAACCTGAAAGTCACTATAATTTTTAGGGTAAGTCAAGAGCTTCCATAGAGAATGAAAGCAAATTACCAAGTTTGCGTAAACCTTATCATTTTCATTATTCAGTACAAAGAAAAAAGTTGTAATTTTCCCATAAATGACTAGCGTTATATATAAATATATGAGTAGCTGTACATACAATATGAGTTTAGGTGCTGCTTTCACAATGAGTGTTTAATGACAAATCTGCTTAGGTTTATGGTTTTAAGGGGATGGGAGGGGTCCTTGTCATTTGGAATTACTTGGCTGTATCGCAGAGCACATACGTGCTGCAGGGCTGGTGGCCGAGAGCACCGGTGTTCCCAGTGGAATAACTGCTGGGGCTAATGGTTTTTGTGCTGTCTGTCAGCTTATAGCTGACTGGGGGGGTGCTTGGGGGGGGTATTAACCAGAAGGATTTTACTGTCATCTCTGAACATGGTAAGGAGAAATGTTTTGCCCATGTTTGGCGGTTTTAAGACCAGATTTTATTTTTAGAACAGCTTATTCGAGGAGAGCTCCGGTGCGGAGAAAATCCCCTCAAAGATACCGCATGCCTGCTCTCGGGGCCTGAGCTGCTCCTGCCTGGCTGGTCGCTAAAGCCTCAGGTCCAGCCGGCCTGCCTGGCCTGGAGGCCGAAGGGCGGCCTGCGTCTGTGGTCGGCTCGCCTGAGGGTGCGGCGTCCACGGGGCCGCAACTGGGCAGCCTGAAGAAGCGCTCGGTTACCCAGGATGCAGTACCCAGAGGCTGTTCTGCTGAGGGTGGTGTTGCCCTGGGCAGCCTTACTGCCCCTGGGGACTTCCCCATGGCTGGCCCTGCGCTTGGCTGACCGGGTTTCTCCTGGAAAGGCGGGTCTCTATGTGAGGCTTGCGTAATTTATTCATACTGGTCTGAGGCATCAGGTAAACTAGAGTTAAATTATTCACATAACTTTATTAGATGGCGTTTGAAACAGGAGCTTGCTTTTAAAATAAAGGCAAAACTTTTGGAAGGTGTGGTTTGGGTTGTTTTTTTTGGTGTGGTTTTTCTTATTTTCATTGGGCTTTTTTGTTTGTTTTGTTTTCTTGACAATCTGCCATTTTATTGTTTGTGTACAAATTACTCAAATGCTTATTTAAAGTTTGCATATTTGACCAGCCTGCTATTTAAAAAAACAAACCAAAACACCTTGATGTCCTGATAAGTAGCCTTACAAGCATTCTCAGCTGGCTGTGTGCAAAGTCCAGTGTGAAAGGTCAAAAAGAGATGCTGTGAATCTCACTTGCTGTTTCTCCAGCATGCAGCATGATGTTTTTTGATTGTTTCTACCCTCATCTTTACTTCTCTGTGATTGACTTAGAGGAATGGTAAAGGTGGGAGGGGAGGCTTTAGGAGTGTGTTTTCTGTTCCTCTCCATTCTGGGAATCGGCACTCGGATAACTCTCAGGACTGTTGTTTTGATCTTGCAGATTTAGGTTGTCCTTCCAGGAAGAGCATGCATTACTGAGGGGTAGATTCACTATGGGCTTCTAGGAAAGATCGCATTTATTGTTATGATGGACTCTTCCCGCCCCCCCCCCCCCCCAGGGCCAAAGCTTTTTAATTTTTTTTTTCTTTAAAC